GAAAATGAGCGGAAGAAACACCTGCCACTTGTGCTCTCTTCAGTGAGAACAGTGTACAGAACAGGAGGGTTGAGGTGTGAGAAAAGTCATATGTAACATTCAAAAATGTGACATTATGAACCCACAGGATAAAGGTAATTACTCCCTAAGGGGCTGTGGGGGCATGTGATCCCTGCAGAAGACATCAGGGGTTTGAGGTTGGAGAGCACAACTTTAAAAAGGCACACACCTTAATGTAGCAAAAATGTTCAAAGAGAAAATATTCTGTTCCCACTATTAAATCACTAACAATGGGGGATCACCTCATTACTTGTAGTGACATGACCCCTATACAGAGTGCTCAGGGTGATTGTGCTCCTCAATAGATCCTATTAAATCATCAAGACAAAAAGCTTAAAAAAAATTTTTAAGCCGTTTAGCTCTGCCAAGTGCCTAGGAGCTTACAGTCCAGGTCGAGTCAGTTTCATCACAATAACCTCTTCAGTATGAAGCCAAACATTGTGGGCAACAATCAGTGTTTTATTTAAACTTAGAAGCACAAATTATGTGTTCAGTGTGCAGAGTATACATTCCTTGTTTGTTAAAAATCTCCGCTTTGTTCTGCTTATTCACTGTATACAGGGTGGGTGAAAAGTAACTAGGCATTAAAATTTGGCTATAGAACTTGTAGCATCACTGGAGTCATGATGAAAACAGTCTAAATAGATTTCATATGAAGTAAGATTTCATTTCATATGAATCTGATATTTGAATGACTGGATTTGATTCATTTGAATTTCATATGAAATCAAATAGGATTTCATAGAAAATCCTATTTACTATTGATTTCATATGAAATCCTATTTAGTCTTGATTTCATATGAAATCCTATTTACTCTCGTCTATTTAGAGACTGTTTTCATCATGACTCCAGTGATACTATAAGTACTGTAGCCAATTTTTAATACCTAGTTACTTTTCACTCACCATGTATATGATGGACATGGTGTCACCAATTCCCTCCACTATGCAAAAATGAAACCAAAATATTATGAATATGGCAGGGCCCGGGATTTTTTTGCAACCAGTTCTGCACAGTAGCACCCAGAAGTGGACTGACAGCATTGAACTGCCAAAGCTGTCAAATCAACCAAAATACACCCCTTTTTATATCATCAAATAATTTATTAAAAACCAACCAACCTATACACAAATTGGCATGATAATGTCTACTAAAAACCACAGAAGTGACTACTGGTAATTTTTTTTTTGATTTGTGCTTTGAGTTTTTAATTGTAGCTCATGTCCCATCCACTAACATGGAAGAAGCAGGATTTACGGCAACCAACCACCAGAGGGGTGATCGACTTTTGATGGCCACTGTTGGTTCTTGCATTACACCAGTAATTTATGACATACTGTAACCAGTAAAGGGTTGTCAGGTCATATCAGCCAAACAATGTTTTTGTTTGTAAGAACTCAGGTCAAATTCACTCAGACAGTTTACATTTCAGACAGCTTGAGCTGTCTTTGTACTTAAGGCCACTGTATATGAACTAGCAATTCTAAAGAAGAAACAGTCAACATGAAAGAAAGAAAGAAAAGGCAAATGTGGCATTTTTTCCAGTAAATAAAGATTTTTTTGTTGCAGGTCTTACCAAGGCCCTCCGACTCAAACAGATAGGTCTCCTCTACACCAATGTGTCGACACCAGGCCAGGAAGTTGGCTGTGTTGTCCCGGGCAAAGAAGGAACCCGGGGAGGCATCCTGCTTACATGCAACCTTTCTTGTGGGGAAGAGCTGTCAGAAAAAATAACTGCTAACAAACCTCAGTCACTGTGTGTACATTCAGTATAAAGTATGGGGATTTTAAGAAAATTAACTCCACAAGTAAAACAGTAAATATTTTGCAGTAATGTACATTTATTCTGGTACAGAAGGTATAGTTGGATTTCTGAGTAAAGTCCTCATGAGATGTGTGCTCATACACAGGGTTAAAAACAAACCAGAATGAGTCTATACAGATATCCACAAGGAGCTGAAAATGTGGAAATGTTCAAATTCCCAAGAAGAAAACAACCCTGTTAGCCTCAATTGCTTAATTAGCTGCTAGCATCTAGTGCTCTGATCAGACCTTTAATGTCACACATCACCTCATCCTTTTTGTGCATTTATGGCACTCGAATGAATAACAAATCTCTGTCAGTCTCTGCAATCAATGTACTGTTTCATGTTCTGTTTAATACCCCATCCAGTCTTTCTCACACACACACACACACACACACACACACACACAGAGAGAGAGAGAAAATAGTGCCCTTTCGGTGAGTGTCTGGCTATTTTCATCTTTGCCATATGACTCACCTTGGTGACTGCAGAGGGGTAGCTCTGGGCGATCTTGGTCTGCAGTACACCGATAAGCTGGCAGAGCTTCACACCATTATTCAGCTCCTCCATGAAAAACTCAGCTCTCACCTCCTCTCCTAAAAAATAAAGTAAAAGGACTGAATAACATGCACAGTAGCACTCCATATGAATGGGTTTTGAAGGTCAAAACCACATCTCTAGTACAGAATAAAGACAGTTCACTGGAATGAACTGAACTGTATCTGGAGCCCAGATTTAAAACAAAACTCTTCTTCAGTCCAGGTATCTACAAGCTGTTTTTCTTCTGTGTATTTTGTTTGAGAACTCTACAAAAAGACTGCACATTGAAAACCATTTGCTTTTCAAAAAGATTAAACTTGATAAGATTCCCCTACAAACTCCTCAAAAACTTATGGCACTCCCACAACCCTTTGTTATAAATTACTGTCCTAGGAAGCTCAACAAAGGTCCATGAGTCTGACTTCATTCACATTACAAAGAAAATCTACAATGACCATTACACCAAGCAAAAAAAAAACTGCCACAAAGTTTAATTACATCAATCCAGTTCTTATTCTATTTTAGTTCCAAAATGTTATGGCACCCAATACTAGGTGAGAGAGAAACGGTATTTCGATTTTTTTGTATGTCCTGCACATATGGTGAATTGACAATAAAATCCTTGAACCTTAACTGGGAGGTGCAACTGTGGGTCAACAGCATAACAATATAATCAGACACTACAGAGACAAATGTAAAGTAATTGACTTTAGCAGAAAACTGTTTGGTTTTACAACTGATATTATTAATGAGGGTTAAATACTTTTTACACAAACACTCTCCATACATGCCATATCTACTTCAAATATAAAGCTGATTTTCTGGAAAACCGCATAATTCACTGCATCTATTGGCTTTCTCTCCATACATGCCATATGTACTTCAAATATAACGCTGATTTTCAGGAAAACCGCATAATTCACTGCATCTATTGGCTTTGTTAGACTGTGTGGACATTATTTATGGTAAGGAGAATCTAAGAGTCTTCAACCACATGTCGCAGTCTTCATTCACCATTGAGTTCTTAGTTCCTGCCCACACTCTTTTTTTTTTTTAAGGAGTCTGCTTCCAAAAAACATTTTAGCAGTGAAAAATTGTTTCAGTTTGTAGTCAGCTTCAATTTCCTCACTGCTCTATTGTATAATAAAGGACAATAGATATTGGTATAATAGCATCATATAGATAGTATAATAGCAGGGACAGATGAAGTGATGAACTTTGATGAAATTTAGAGTCACCAATCAAGCTGCATGTGACTGCATGTAATGGGACTGTGGGAGGAAGCTGGAGTACCCGGAGAGAACCCATACAGGTAGAGGAAGAGCATGCAAACTCCACACAGAAAGGCACCGGTTCAGCCGGGGCTCGAACCCAGGACCTTCTTGCTGTGATGCAGTAGCACTAATCCAATTACATGGGAGACCTAGGTCAATTGTGCTTTGGTATTTTCCTAGCCTGGAGGGAGAAACTGTTAGCATACAACTATCAAGTCATGATTCACATATGCACTGCTTTGGACACATTTACTCAGCTGTACATGTCCATTCTTAGTGCTTCAATCCACTGCTTTATCACCACACAACAGTCAAGTATAATGCACTTGTAGAGAGTAATTATAACTAACCAGTGCTCTCCACAAAAGATGTCAAAACTTACCCAGCATGCCAGTGAGCCAAATGGCCAGATCCTCCTGCATGGGCACCAGGGTGGCCTCATGTCGCACTGCTAGCCACTGGTCATAATGAAAGACGTTGGCAAGGCCAGGGCCGTGCCGCTGTGCTAATGGGCTACGAGGGCTCAGCAACGGAGCATCAAACTTCTCACCAAGCCATGCCTGGAGAAAAGAGGAGTAAAAAGTTGAATATGGGGGGGAAAAAATATTAGAGTTAATCTTTTTTTGGGTAAACGTTCATAAGGGGTGACTGTGGTCCAGTGGGTAGAACGATCGTCTCCCAAATGGAGGTCTGGAGGTTCAAATCACGGTGCAATTAAGTTCATGTCCTCTTTTAGCACATCCATATATCTCCTCTTTGGCCTTCCTCGTGACCTCTTGCCTGGCAGCTCCATCTCCAACATCCTTCTACCAATATAACCACTATCCCTCCTCTGCACATGTCCAAACCATCTCAATCTGACCTCTCTGACCTTGTCTCCAAAACAGCCGACCTGAGCTGTCCCTCTGATGTGCTC